CCCCCCTTCTCCTTGTTCTGCTTCTTCTTGAGGGATGCAATCTGCGCTTCCAGATCCCGGATCTGCTCGGACGCGTCCTTCTCCTCCTCCGTGATGTCGGTCTCCGACAGCTCTCGGGCCGAGCGATGTTGTCCGGGCGAGCGAGCTTCGGACTTGACCTGTGTCCACGATCCCTCCGAGGAGCTTGCCATGCCCGTTGACTTCCTCGCCGGCGGTGGCGGAATCAGTGCCAGGGCTTCGGGGTCGCGTCCCAGGTGTTTGTGAGCCGTTGACGTCCCCGGAGTCTCCGCCCTTCGGAGTAGGTCCTCCTTGCCCCACGTTGCCAACCTCACCAGTTCTTCGTGGGAGTTGGGATTGGACTTCGTCTCCTGGATGGCCCAGCGAAGATAACCGTCGGGTACTTCCTGATACATGTACCCCTTGTACCGTCCGAATGGCACCACGGTTTGTCGGCTTGGTTGGGATGGTCAGGCCGTTCTTCTCCGCGAGCTCCACCAGCTCCTGCAGCTTCAGCGAGGTGAGTCCCTTCATCTTCTCGTTGTTGACCTGTGGCTTCTCGAGATCCCGCTGTTCGATGAGAATTTGCCGGAGTTCCGGCACCGTCCACGAGCGATGCACCACCACCCCGCGTTCGCCCAGCTCCTGCAGCAACTGCTCCTTCTTCATGTTCCATGGCGAGGGGGTCAGTCCGGGCATCGGATGTCAAAGTTCCGGGCTCTGGGCGTCCACGGGCCGGACTTGCAAGCTTCACAAATCGGCTGCGTCCAATCCACGGGCCAATCATTTCAGATGGTCCTCCTTCATGACATGAACGATCGTGTTGAACATGAACGAGAGTGCCGGCAGCAAGACAAGGAACATATTCTGTTTGCCGGCTTCCCTCCAACTGTGCCATCAAAGAGGCTTTCAGCCCGGAATGTTGCGTGCTCCACTTCGAGGGGTCAAACCAATGCTTGCGGGGGACCACATGGATGCGAATGAACTCACGATCCGTCTCGACCCAAAAATCCCGAACGTGCTTGACCGAGTTCCACCACATGAAGAAACCAGTGCCACCCATGACCTCCTCATTGGATAACAATCCAAACACTTCTGCAGTGAGTTTCTTTGGAAAAAACAATGGTTTGTGATACGAAGAGAAAACCGGCAGCGTTGCGCTCATGTATGCTTCCTCGGCAGGCAATCCGACTTCTCCAAGGGATCGCTGTGGTCCCTCAAAAGGAATTGATGCGCCTGCACAATCTGTGACACAAAGTGCTAGATGACCGGTCGGGCTTGTGCGAAGAGGCACATTCGTGAAACCCAGTGCAGCGAGATCCACTCTCTGTGCAGCCAAGTCATAAGTCATTCGCAGCCCTGCCAGTACTGGCCTGCTAAACAAAAGTGGTACACTGCATGGAACAATTGCCACAGTGACTCGGAAAAATTTGCCCATCACCGCAAACCACGCTTCTACCGTGAACTTGGAGGTGAACAAGCATGAGGCTCCAAAACGAAATTGGTCTTCATGATCATGAGTGATCACCTGGTAGCCCACTGACGCCGCCCAGTCCGCATAGCGCTCAAACCAATCATGACCGGCAACGGACTTTGTACATGCGGTATCAACTATGGCTAACATGTCACCCCCGGAGACCTCAGAGACCTGGTACGCCGAGTCGACCGTCATGAAGCATGCCCCAAAAGCCACCCCAACCGTGCCATCGGGACCCTCATGCAAAAAGTGACTCTCTCCCCAAACCAGGTTACCGGGCTCCTCAAACATGTTGCCTGACCTGTCACCATCAAAGGCCTCAGGGTCGAAGGAGCAGCCCTCGACTGCCATCAGGGCCTGAGTGCAAGACATGTAAACCACCTGACACATTTGGGTGTGTTGCACACCCTTTTATCCATTTTCTTTCTCAACCCGATCCCCACGTGAACCAGCGGGCCGCTGTCCTCGTAGGGGACATTCAGGATCTTTATGCCAGTGTCCACGCCTTTTGCATGCCGAGCAATAGCTGCGCTGTTTGGCCAGCTTCAGGCGCTCTTCGGAGCGCTTTCGCGCCTCCTCTGCGTCGACGCCTCGGCCACGAAGGGTTTCTCTGTACTTGGTCTTGGCGTTCTGGTACGCCATGTAGGCTGTGTGATGCTCTTGTGCTGTGTCCTCATCAAGCAAGTCATCCTCCTGTGTCCTCATCAAGCAAGTCATCCTCCTGTTCGAAGGGGTCATCTTCATCAGTCGACGGGTCTTCACCCGTCATAGTCATGTGCACGGACTGCCGTGACCATCGCTTGCCACCCCAGCCGGGTTTGTCATGACTCGCCGGGGTCGAGGATCGCCGGATGGCCCGATCCTGGACCAGAGCCGCTTGCTGCAACTTCCGCACATCATACTGGTTGTTCACACTCGACAGTAAGGCCAATTCCTCTCCCTCCGTCAGCTTCAAGCGGTCGAGGTAGAGCCAGGCCTTGATCAAAGGCGGACGTTCGCACTGCACCTCATGTAGGCGAAGGACAAGACGTTCAAACTCCACATTAAAGTCTCTCACACTCTGCTCTGGTCGACGTCGGCAGCGGCGAAACAAATCTCCCATCATCTGGGAGCCTTTGGACACCTCCACCTCCATGAACCTTGTTTGGATCCACTCCAAAAAATAAGACACTCCATGCTCGCTGCCCATGATGTCCAGGTCCAGCTCCTCAGCATAGACCCAGGCTTTTCCAGAGAGTGCCGTATACAAAGCCAAGGCACGTTGGTCGCTTGGCATCTTCGTGCATCGAAGCCAAACTTGCACCTTCCGGATGTAGCTTCGAGTCGATCTGCCAAGCTCCTGGTCGTTGGTGCCCTCTCCATCAAACTCAGGCACCACCAGCTTCTCCGAGGGCTTTGGATCTCTCTGGGGCCAAAGTTCATCTGGCCAGGCAGCAGCATTGTGATCATAGCTTCCAGCCCAACGTCCATTGTTGACCGCCGTGGTCTGGTCCACTCGGGCCACATTGAAGTTCCGAAGCTGTGCATCGGAGAGCCAACCATCAGTGCTCGTTCGTGAAGTTCCGCTCCACGGATCCATGGCCGGTCGTGACCAGGGATCTTGTTCCCATGCACCACTCTCCCAGCCCTCGTCATCCCATCCCCAGTCCTCCAAAGGCGAAGTTGCCGTGGGGGTAGGCCAGGAATTCGTCGGCTCACCTTCTTCGGCTGGCGGGTCCTCGACCCGGGGCGGCTGCCTCCTAGGCTGTCATGAACGTTGATCCATCAACCACCCTGGAAGGAAATCAAAACAGCTCCGCGTGACCAATGTCGAAATGGTAGGGTCACAACGCCATGCACGACACGTAATGAACGCAGATCTTTTCTGCGTTGCGAGAACCCTTGTGCCTAAAGGGTATCGGTATGTCGTTCACAAGCTATGTGGCAAAAAGCGGACGAATCGAAATGGAATTTTCGCAGGGTGATCGAAGGGCCATAGTGCTGGTCCCAAATCCATTTCCTCAAAATGATTCTTCATTAATGGGTTGCGCGAAGATGGATAGACATTGGTTTCTTTCCCAAATTCTCGAAGCACAGCGGGCACTAAAAATTTTGGACTCGGGATCTCAGTTGATGCTGGTTCAGCTAATCTGGTCTGGATCGTGTCACGTCCAGATGGGCGTCCTCTCTTGGGTGGGACATTTACAATGATCATTAAGGCATCTGGAGTGTCCTAACATATCAATTGATGGAGTGTCCTAACATATCAATTGATGTTGCTACAACCCCTGCAGCCTTAAAAAAACAGGCCTAACACTAAAAACACCGGTGCAAAGTGGGGTTTTAGGTGGGATATTTTCCAATGGCTATGGGAGGTTGCATGTCCTGTTTCTTAGCTGTCGGTGCCAAGAATTTAACTGTCGGTGCCAGGAGTGGAGCGAACGGCATCGGTATTTGCGGCCAAGGACGGGTACCATGTTTGTTTCATGCATAGCATGACAAGAAAATTGGTTGCTTAAAATCCATAACCTCTAATAATTGCCAACTGAAAGACCACGTAACAGTAAAGAGTCTAGACATTCATAATTTTCGTTCGATAAAAAAATGCTTTCCATATCCTAATCTAGAGTTCGCCAATCCTTGGACCAAAACAAGATAGGCATTAACCGACTTCTAAATATTTCGATTATACAATCTTCCAAATAAAATATTTTCATTATATATAATAAATATATTCGTAAATCATATTAATATTAATTATATAATAATACGAACATCTTTAAATTTCGAAAATATAATATCCCAATAATTACTATTTTTTCAACATATCAATATTACAATTTTTTATTAATATTATTCAAATATCATACTATCAATTTCAAATTAAATATAATTAATCTATATACTATTTTACATTTACAATCTTCATATATGTTAATCGTCATAGAAACTATATTTCTAAATATTATTTATACATTTATGTTTAAGACATATCATTCTTTTACACATCGTTTAATATTGATTATTTCATTCTGATCAAATAATGATTGTTATGGGAAATATACATTTGCCAACATGTTTTTCATCCTTCTTTGCAATGGTTTCTGATGCGTTAACGCCCCTGCCAGTCATGGCCCACCGCGTCTGTTGTTATGTCCACGGCCCCCTTCAGGGTGTCGTTGATCCACCAACATAGACAGAGTGGGCCAGTTGCTTCAAGCAAGCCGGGGATGCCAAAGAGCAACTCAGTGGCGCAGTTCCAAGGCACCCAAAAGTTGTATGGAAATGGCCTCCATCTACTAGCGATGGCCTCCACCCAAAAGTTGTATCATGTTGCATCATTCCCGAGACAAACCTTGAATATGATTCCACATCCGAGGGGGTGTCTGAAGAGATTGATCATGAAGATTGATAAGGCAAAGACGATGATGAATTGAAACACAATGAGACATATTGCTTGGAAATCTGTGGATGTGTCTTGTACAATATCAATAGGTTTAGGACATACAGTCCTTTTTAGTAGGTCGGAAAACTTTGTGCTTCTTGCCCAGGAATGAAACACTTCAAATCCCCACAAGTCTGCTTGAAGCAAGTCTGGCACATGCAGGGCAAATCCTAACTACAGGAGGTTCATTAATCCTCGACCAACGCCTGCAAGAAGTCAAATCGCAGTCTCTCTGACAATGTTCTGTTCACTCTTTGGTTATGGCTCTACGCAGCAAGTGCACTATATGGCAGGAGCATCTACAGCCCACAGATTGACCCTGTAAAACAATTTCCACAACCTTTCAAAGAGTTCGTGCTGCAAAAGTCGTGATGTTGGTGATCGACGTTGGTGATCATCATTTGAGCACCGAGTCTTTATTGACACCACGTACGGCCGGAGTAGATTATAAGAACACCTGCAATGGCTATGACATGCGGCCGGAGGAATATCTATTGGAATATCTTCTATATCTATCTCTATAATTATCTATATCTCTATCTATCTATCTATCTATATCGGCTGGGCCCAATGCGGCCTCAACCATCCGCCAGTGCAGGTGTTTCAGCCTGGGCCCGACCAAAACCAACTCGGTCTGTCTTCATGGCTCGGTCTGCAGGGTCGGGATGGATAGACCTTTGATGTTCCGGACCACAGTGGGTTGAGAGGTTCGATGGCACTGGCACCCCAAGATGTTCCTTGTAAACCACCGAACCTGGGACTTATGACTTATGCCAAACAACTCTGAAACAAAACACACTTGCAGTTTCCAGAGCTTCCAACAGGCCCTTCAAATAAATACCACTGCTGCCTGCTGGATCTGAGGCTGAGGACTCCATACCCAAGAAAAGGCCAAACATTTTTGAGTTTGTTTGGTTCAGCTGCCACTGGGCAGATTTCCCTCTGTTGAGCAAGGTACAATGGCCACCCCAAGCAGAAAAATAATTACGTCCCTACTTTGGCAACCCAATCAACACTGGGAGTCGAGCAAAACAACACCTTTTGTCCACACTCCTTTTTCTCGTAGACTCATCAGTGAAGTGATGAAATGAAGGGATTCTTTATGATTCTTTCATATTCTTTCTAGAGACTGCCATTTAAATCCACACCACAGGCTCCACCATCACAGTCTCAAGTGCACCGGAGCATCAAGTTGCGCCGTGTGGCCCGTTAGCCCGAAACACAGCCGGACATCCGAAAACTTCCGTCCTCGGACGTCCGAAGCACCGTAATGGAAGGACCCAAACTTATCCTCATCGAAGGACTTCTGTGTTGGTGTCTCTCATCACAAGGACTTCTGTGATGGTGGGTTGACTAGTGCCACGCTTGTTTCCTGACGGCGGGAGAACAGGAAACCGATGAACTTGTTCTATGCAAATATCTGGCAAGCTCCCAGACAGTCTCCAGTGTTATCATTTTTCATAATGTTTCTATCCAACACCACCACTTTGTGGCTGTGTAGAATAACATAGAATAACTAGGATGCCCCAAGATTTTGGGAAAAGCAAGCACCAAGCAAAAACATTCCAAGGGTTCCGTATTTGAATGCCCACCTGCAGATCGCCAGCTGCAGCAAATACACTTTTGGCACTTTGCCGTTGCCTTTTCCCCGTTCCAAGCCCAGCACCTCACGGATGGGCGTCGGTGTCTGTGGCGTTGCAAGTGCCTGGGCCTGAGGGATGTCTCGGAGGTCTAGCTGGAGTTGAGGGCGATTTGGCAAAGATCGAAGAAAAGCCATTTGACAAAGCTTTCGATTTTGCGCCACGCTCTCTGTTCGAAGTCTGTAGAATCATCAAAAGGACTTGCAAGACTGTCGGACCATGTCAGGTCTGACAGAACTTTCCGCCATTTTCCGTCATTTGCCACCCTGCATCGCCCATCATCCCGGACACTACTGATGGGCGCTCGCTCTGCCTGGATCTGAACCGCTTTCTGATTGGCATAGCTGGCGACTTGTGCAAAGCGCGGATCGACCTCCAGGGGGGTTCTCTTCGATTGGATTGGTCACCTCCGGTCACCGTCCGTGGTCGGTCATCCACTGAGCTTTTGCAATGTCCAACCTCTCAACCGTGGCCTTTGAGTGGAACATCGTGGAACTAACAGGGCATGCACCTCACATCACCTCACAATAAAAAATTCATGACCTTGGGGGGCGGAGCACCTACCACAAGAAAAAGACCACCCCGACCAAGAAAATTACCCTCCACGACGAGAACAACATACAACATCACGACTTGGGCCAGTCTTCGCAGGCGTTCGCCTGGCTGCAGCTTTGTCCCACATCTGCCAACTCCAGCAAATACTGGTGAGTGACCTCGCGGGTGTCACACGCACGCGCACTCGAGCGCGTCAGTCACGCGGTAAGATTCTGGACAGGATGGAATGGTCAGGGTGACCGCAGGGCTCTTCCAGCCCGGTCGCGTGCTGCTGGGAACTCGTTCTGCGAGGCTGGCGTGGATTCTGAGGCGATTTCTGAGGCTCCGAACATATAAGGGAAGCTCAGAGGCGTCGCCAGCCTGGGGGACGGTACTTCATATCAGTGCTGCCTGAAACCGCACGATATCCATGACTGCCTGTTTCGCATGCGTAAAGCCGTGGAAGGCCAAAAAATTCTAAAAAAACACATCATAAACATCTCTGCAGGTACCAATCAGCAATCTCGATAGGATGTGGATCATCAAAATCCCAGACTGCCCCCCGGATGCAGAGGTCCATTTAGACGCAATTCATGTCTCTGTAGTTGGAGCGTCACTCACTCCGCCGGGGCGCCTCCGGCGACGCCCAAAAACCATCGACATGATCATGATCGATCATCCCCGAAGGGTGAGGTATCAAAAACGAGTGGTTCCCTGCGGTATCAAACAACAATCATCAAAATTGGTTGATGAATATGGGACTGAGGGACTGGGGGACCAGGACTAGGATGTGGGATCATGCATGTAAGCAAATAATATTACGAGTATGTAGTATACATAAGATTACATAAGATTATACAAGCATGTTTTTTGATGCGGTATTTGTTTGCTTTTGATGCGTTCATATGCGTCAATCAATCTTGTTTGTTTGATGCGTTTTGCCTCATATAAACTGATGATGCACATACCATGTCCGAAGACCCGCATGGAAGTCGGAGCGTTCCGAGTCGCCCAAACAACCCGAGTTTCCCGGGCGGGGCTGTGGAGTTGCAAGGCCTGGCTTCGGGGCGCGAAACGCCATGTGATGACATGTGATTCACTCCAATCCTTCGCCCATTGTAATTCCCAATCCTTCGACTACAGTGGACAGTCATCTGAATGTTTGCTTCCAAATGTCATTCTGCAGGATCTGTCTTGACTCTCGCGCTGCTTCCTCACCTCACAGAGGTGCTCGACAGGGAAGGCGGGAGTCTTTGGGCCACCTTCATGAACCTGTTGAATGACTTTGTCACGTCAGCCAGCCAAGCTGGCGAATCAGCCAGCCAAACTGGCCGGGCGTACGATGTCACACATTCGGGAGAGCCCTCTGAACAAAGACCTTGCTCAAACGCTCAAGTCTTCAACCAAGTCTCAAACGTTCCCAAGCTCATCTTCCATTGCGGTATCATGACCAGTCCCTTTCGAATGCTCCAAACAATCAAAACAAAAACACAGCCTTTAGGTTGTTCTCCAATTGTTTTGCTAGAGGTTGCGTTTTAGACCACCTCACCCATAACAACTATATTATATATAGGACATGAAGACATATTAGAGGGAGAGAGACAGAGAGAGAGAGAGAGATCCAAAGTACTTAATTGTAGCCTGATTTGACATCTGTTGAACTGCAAAGGGCCAATGCAAAGCACTGGACACCATCTATGAATCTTGTTTCTACTTCTTTTGCGAAGCTTGTCTGTGTGAACCGTCCACTAGCATACTGGAACTGAGACAGCTGAGATCAGCACTTCAGGCTCAGCAAGCGCGCATCACACTGGCCGCATGTTCGCCTCATGATTCCATGGGGGAAGCTCCGAAAAAGACTGAGCCTGGGCTTTGGCCCCCAATCGTGGCGAGATCATTATTGCAATTTCATTAATTGCATAATTTATCATTCTTTGCAATTTCTAACATCCCATCTTAATGGTAGAGGTTTGTGGCATTGAGAAGCACTTAAACACGGGAAAAGAATCAACAGTTGGACACGCAAGCTGGAAACAAAAGAACCACAGCATCATGCCTCTTTTACTCTTGTCTTTGTACAAAGCATGACCTTTAAAGTCACCTTGGTCAATACTGACTCAATGCTCCTGTTCTCACCAATTACTTTCAATTTCTGGCGAAGTCTGCTCACAATGTGTCACTGTGCCACAGATCACAGAAAACATCAACAAACTCCTATGCCTGTGGGGCCTATGCCTCAGTCGCAGCTGCAAGTTGTGTCTCTTGACCAGGTCAGCCAGGCGCTCATAGGCGTCCGAGCGGGAGCTCTTGTGGCAACTCCTCGAGGAGCCGCTGTTCCTCCGCACTTCGCAGCGCCCTCAGCGTCAGGCATGCTGCGTGAGCGAATGGCGCATGGGTGGAGAAGGGTTGGAGAGTGGAGCGTCCGGGTGGGTCTTCTCAAGGTTTGGAAAGGTTTGGGCAGACCGGTTCTACCTGGTCAAGCGGCCCCTGGCGCCACAGTGTGTGACGCGACAGCCATGTTGCTGTCGCGCATGGAAGAGGTGTGCCAAATGGAGAAAGGGTTTCGCTGTTAGCGTCGTCGCCACGCATCATAGATCATCCTGGAGGTGTGAATCTGAGTGGCGATACCATTCTTGTCCAAAGATCTTCTCTCAAGATCCAATGGATGAATTCGATATTCTAGGCATCCAAAGATCCAAAGGGAAGAGGTTCCAGGTAAACCATGGTAAACCCACTGACCAAAAGGAGAATCCGTGATCCCCACTTTCGCCTGAGGCCGCGAACAATTCATCTTGAATGCCTTGGAGCTCGGCTTGCCTGTAGAGTTTGGACGAGCCAAGTAGTTTTCGAAGATCTCGGATGGGATGTGTTCTTCTTAAGAAGAAAAGTAAAAATAGCATCTCTGGTTTCTGCACCATGGAGAGACAACAATCCTCGGATCTTTGATGCTACGCCACACTCCTGGCCTTCGGTCTATCTCCTCCACCAGCGCCTCCTCTGTCAACAAACCTGGAGGTGTGTTGTTTGGGGCATTCGCTGGGCGGAGAGGAGATGCAACCATTTGACCTGGAGCTGCTCCAACTAGGTAGACCCATTAAGTTTCATTTGCGCGCCAAGACCGTATGAAACTCGGGTTTGGTGGCACATGGGGGCGGTATTCGGGAGGAATTGTTGGACCGTGGACCGTCTAGTCGAGTCGAGTCAACACTGGTGGAGGCTCGAACTTGCTGGGGAACATGGATCTGCCGGAGAACTATGTTTCTCTAGCAAGTGGGTCTGTTTGTCTGTTCCACTTCCGTACCTTTTGGGAGGGAGGGGAGGGAGGGTAAACACTGGCAATCATTATATATAGGAAAAACTATTTAGATATATTTATATAGTAAACAGTATTTACTATATTATTCTGATCTCAGTATCCAAAACGCACGTCCTCAAGCGTTCTAGACGGTGTGATCGACGGGCCCCGGACTCTGCAGGGTCGCACACTCGGAGCCCCGCCAAAGGACTGCTGGGGAGCTCCACCCGTGTCAGGTCTCTTGATTCCTGAAACCCCTCCCTAAATACCTTGGGTCCAACATGATCCAACTATTTCTATCTATTTCTGCATGCTTGAGGTTGGTTATGTGGCCACCGATCAAGGACCTGTGAACTTCCACCGATATTCTGCCGTCTTGGACACTGCAGGCAGCGGGTGTGATGAGTAAACCCCAAGCACCAAACGAACGAAATCGAAATCATGTCAATTTGATTCTGCACTCGGTACTGCAGGACATTCTGCCAAAAAACACCTGGTCCACGCCCAAACCACCTGGTCAGCACAGGGCGGATGGGTCGGGGTTTGGGGTCTCCCCACATGTCATGAACACACGAAGATCCGGGATTTGGTCGGCGAGATCCCATGTAGGTCGCGATTCCACATGTAGGTGGAATCTGTTCGGTCCGGTCTCCTGGGGCGCCAAGCCCAAGTCCATACGGAGGCGCTCCTGGATGCGAACAGCAGCGGACGGACGGAGTCTGAAGGAACTCGTAGAAGCGTCGACGTCCTACGGAACAACAGTCTTTAGCAATGGTGCAAATCATATGTCGGAGTTATCATATATCATCCAAACCTATCAATCCACTTGTGGAACCTATCAATTGTACAAATATCTTGGGCTAAGATAGGTGTGAGGTTCTATGGTTCGATGGGTATGGTACGATGAGATTTGAGATGGTACGGTACGATGGTACAACGTCAGGGTACGTGGTGGAAAGTTCGATTGGAATGCCCGCAGCTGTTCTCACAACGTTTGGCAAATAAATCACTTGGGATTTGAGACCAAAGTCTTGATCACACATAAAAAATGGTTGACTGCTGTCACTGTTGATTGGTGGACTGTTTCCGCAAACATAAGGCCCTAAGACATTCTTTTGTTCAGAATGGACGTTCATTCAGCTTCCATCAGGTCGTAGGGAGATTAGGTCAAGGTATCCCAACGACCATCCCATGTGACCAATGCGTTGACAATTCCATTTCGTCTAGGTTGTGCGCGACAATTTCGAGATGCCCCGATACGGCACCTGCAGTCACTACGCACGATACACATGAAGCTGTTTACATGGCAAATCCCGTGGGCAAAGGAAGTGATTATTATATGGGTATTTGCCAATGGCATGGGTAATATTTATATGAAGTGATATAGAATATAGAAGTCTCACGGAAGTCTCACCATCTTTTTGGGCTGTTTTGTAGCAATCTGCCACTACTACCGGTCCCACAAAACCAGCCTGGTCCTGGTCATTGATTTGATTCATTCACATGGGATCCCTTTCGGAGTACCAGTCCCGTCCCTGGCGGGAACCCTGGGACGGGGTATTTCATGTACGGCTGCCAAAGTTCCCTCTCATCGAATCAGACGAATCAGGTATCGCCGCACGTCGTATTAAAGGAATGGCGAGACATGGCGAGACGAAGCCACCATCAGTGCAGCCTGGTTCTAAAGTATCCCGTGGAACATGGCGGCGAATTGACATGCGCCTTTCAAGCCTTCTATGGTTTTAAAGTTCAGCAACTGGAGCAGGAAGGTGCTCGCAACTATACAGGTAAAGTGGAGAAGCATGTACACTTGTTCGAGGTGATCTTAGGAAAAGTGTTGGATCAAGGGCAGCCCAAGAACTGTGAAGAATATGAGCAATGTGGCAAACAATGAATACGCCAAGGTACTCTCCATGATGTTTTTGTGGATGCTCTTCTGTAGCAGCTGGAACTGCGCGGGAACTGCCTTGTCAATTGGAAAGATACACGTCCCTACTCACATTTTTGTGGCTGCCTGAGCTTCATCTGATTCTGAAGATGCTCAAACTCAGAGAAACTACCTGCACGCTGGACCTGAATTCCATTTCAAATTGGATTTGTCGATGGACACGTGACGACATCAAGTGCACGCCGCCCCTCAAAGCGACATGATCCCAAAATGGACACTCAAGACAGCTGGGATTTGGTGTCTATATTCATTGGATCTGGATCTCAGGTGGGTTTCCCAACCACCATCAGGCGGATTGCATTAAACGGCCAAAAGCTTTCGAACACCTGTTACTGCTTTTGGTCCAAAATGATCACAAAAGACCCATGCAGGACCTTGCCACTTTGGCTCCCCTTGGAGGAATGGAATGGGATGGAATGGGACAATAGCCCTTCCAACTATCCATCCCTCAACATCCAATCCATCGATTTCACATCCAACGCCGGTCCTCCCAGTGCGGCGAGTAGTCCTACGGAGGAGGGTTGGTTGGGTTGGTTCTGTGTGAATGGCAGGTGCAACCCGCAGTCAAGCTGCTCAAGCTATCAATCTTTCGCGGGGTGCCTCCCTATTGTGATTCACTAAATGGTCTATTGAGATTTCAACATGTTTTCCGCCCCGCACACTTGGGGCAACGCTGGCTGCCAGAACCGTCAGGCTACTGTTTTGCTGCTTGAAATATAAAGCAAGGGGGTGTGCAACTGCGCAAACCAAACGATTGGACTCATGGACCGTCGAAACCAAAGAAAGCTCAAACGATTGGTATGGATGCCGACAGTCATCACCTTGCCGACTGTCTTCACTGGTATCAAAATGTATCAAGTATCACAGCAAGGTATGGCTCATCAGTGCCGTGGAGCACTGACACACACCGAACGATTCCAACCGTGACGGCAAAACTTCAGTGTTCTAGAGTCCTACTCATAGTCCAGCAATGGATCATGGGACAACTGCCCCGGATATTTTTGCTCCAAAGCACTATGAAACTAAACAGGTTTCACCATGTTATACCATGTTTTATCTCAAGCACAAGCCAGTACTCTCTACAGTCTCCCAATCCCATGGCCCTCCCAGCTCCTGGATCCGCAGGAATTCATCCCTGGAGAGGACACCATCTCGATTGCGATCCAGCTCATTGAACACGGCCTGCGGGGACCCAGGCTCGACCGCGCAGGCTCCCGCGCCCGGCATGTCTGACTCGGGACGTGTGGACGAGCACAACTACATGAGGCCGCAGCATCGACAGGACAGGCTGCATCGACCCATTCCACCAGCATCGACCCCAAACAGCAGCGGCAGCTTGATGTTTTCCCTTTTGAACGCAGGTGAATCGTTTTATGTTTCTTTGACATTGGCAACATTGGAGACAAAGGGAGACAAAGCAGAATCATCTCAGCTCAGCATCCAGAAGGGGCATGGGAGACAAAGGGAAACAAAAGGATACAAAAGGCCAGAATTCATCTTGGCCCAGGATCGTTTCCACATGTTTCCATGGGAGAATTGAGAACCCCTCACAGCAAAGCTGTTTGGGGGAAAAACACATCGAATTCACGCATGAGCGGCCAGTTCCGGAACATGGGGGCTCCAGAAGTGCATCACAAATCACATACTTTGGGACGCGAATCAGTTCCCTCAAACAAGGGCAAAACTCCCTATAGAAACCCAAAGATGTTCGAGACTGAGTCCTGAGTAAATAGAAAGGTCTGCTTATCAATTCTTGCCCGCAAAGTTACAATTGATTTACATGCTGTTTGTCTATAAGCTTCGCCCTCGGCTTTGAGCTGATTCACACTCATTATATATCCTCCCAACAAAGATACACTAGCGACCCATGTCGCAACCCACCTCATATAGGAAGCCCAACCCTCCCATTGCAAGTGGATGCCACCATGAACTGGGTCCAAAAAGCATGGGAGGTCCTAAATTCATGACCATGTCAATGTCACCATGTCACACGCGGCCTATCCCTCTTTCACCATGCCTCCGTTCTGGCCGCCACACGGGCGGACGACAGCGCGGGAGAAATAGACACCTGTTATCAGCTGCCAGTGAGGTGGAATTCCAAGTAGAAGTGGAATTATGAAAAGTTGGGCTAACAGTCTTCCGATTTTGAATGGCTTGAGGAGGTCTGTGCCAATGTGATACGAAGTCGGTCCAAATTAAGGTGTGGCAGAATGTCGAAGCGGCAGCACATTGAATCCATCGCCGCCCGTCCCCCTCCCCTCAAGGTCAATCATGCCACTCTTAACAAAGTCACCATTGACAGCAAGTGGGGCTCAAATGCCTGAAACTTGTGAAAACTTACCTCGTGATTTGAAGTCTTCTTCTTGCCTAACTTAGCCTTTTGTGACCCTGCTCTGGACACCAGATGCTCATCTCAGGGTTTGGGGAGGCACTGAGAGGCCCGTTTGTGAGATGTTTTGACCCGCCAGGACCTACAGTTGGCCAAAACTACATATTTCTCTAGGTACCGCTGCTTCTCCAAATCCGGCGGAAGATTGTACTGGACTGTGCCGTTTTGGATTGCAACATTGCTCAAAGGATATGTTCTCTTAAAACTCTTACCAGCTAGCAATGCAGGCTTTTGCTCGTTCAAGGTGGCGGAGATGTCGAGCTGAAGGGGTCGTCTAATCTTCACCAAAAGTGAGCATGTGACCTCTCTTTGGGTGTACATGTGACGTTTTCGTCACACAATTGTGACTTTTGGATACTTTTGGAAGGACTCACAGTCCTAATCTCACCGCACCCAAAGATTCTCCCCTGCAGATTAACATAGAACCCCAAAACCACCTGGTTGGTATGGTGAATTCTCAGATTCCATGTTAGCTTGCT